CTGCCATTAATTATTTTGCGCACACGTGAAATATCTGTCGCCAAAAAGCGCCAAAGCTCGAAACTGATGTCGAAGTTCGAACAGGTTCGATGGTCACATTAAGTCTATGGAGCCCTTCCTTCTTTACGTAGACTTTCTTTGACTCAGCTGACACATGTGTCGGTATCGATGCTACTCTGTATAAACGTGTCGGTATCCATGCTACTCTGTATAATGTTGGTATCGGTGCTTAAAACCATTTGTTTAAAAAAATACCCTGGAAAATATGACTACAGGAAACAAGAAATTAAGCTATAAAATTCAGTATACACTAGAGTGTTAAACTACGCCAAAGGGCATGGAAACAGAGCAGCAGCAAGGCATTTCGGTCCACCATCTACCAAAAACATGAAACGTACTTGGCGACTGCAGGAAGATCAGCTGAAGACTGATAAAAAAACAAAAACATAACCTTCCATGCCCAGCTCCATCTTGGCCTGAACTTGAAAATGGAGTAAAAATGTGGGTGATAGATAAGAGAAAATCTGGGATAAGTGTTTCAAGCAAAATGATAATCAATGAGGCCAAAGGATTTGCAGAAAAACATGGGAATCAGAACTTTTCAGGGTCTGAGGGCTGGTGCTACAGGTTCAGGAAAAGGTAAGGCTTATCAATGTGCACGAAAACAACTATTGCATAGAAAATGCCAGCAGATTATGAAGAAAAAATACTAGCATTTCATACGTTTGTTATAAATGCACGCAAGAAAACTTCTTTTGAGCTCGGTCAAATAGGAAATATGGATGAAATTTTACTCACATTTGGTGTACCATACAATAAGACTGTGAATATTAAAGGGTCTAAATCAATAACCATAAAAACCACACGTCATGAAAAAACCCAATACAGTCAAAAGTCGTTAATCCGGACTCGTCGGTACTTCGGCAATTCCGGATTATCGATTTTTGCGGATTATAGATCATCAGTTTAAATCTGGTAAGATGGCATGCAGAAAATATGAAAAAATATGAAAATATGAAACCGTAATTTATGAAATAAAGAACAATTATGATCTAAAGGGTATCAAAATTTACAAAAAAAAAAAAGCTTAATATTTATTTGTTTACATATTAAACATTTCTTTCAATGTAAGTTGTTTAAGTTGCTTTGTTTTATGTGATAATACTTTCTCTTTAAGTTTATAAACAGACATAATTTCTTGTTCAGTTACAAAGTTCCGCTGTTCAAGTCCTATAATTGCTGTGTCGAGAATACCGACTAATTTGTCAATCGAAATTTTTTCGTTTTTAATAACCTCTGTGTCACTTTCTTCACTATCGGAAGTGAATTATAATGTCGAGGAATTTGATTTAAATCATATGAAAGACAGAGTACATCAAGATGAAATACTACATTTAGTAATGAATTATAAGCCAAATAAGATAAAAACATCTGCCCTGAAGATAAGGATAGTGCTGACAGATCAACTTCCAATTCATTGCGCGCAGCCGCGTTTCTTCTCCCCCCCCCCCACACACACCACACACACAGAGCAGTGTGAAATTGATAAACAGATTTCAGAATGGTTAGAGAAACAAAGGATATGCCTTTACCCATTTTTTGCAGCAATTCCACTTTTTGTTTGATGGACATCGAAACATACTTTCGCTTTGTAGATCCTTTGGGAGCTCCAGCATCGGAAATTCTATTTGACATATTCGAAAGTTCAAGCTTACTTTTATAAAATTACTCTAACAGTCTGCAAAAAATAATAAGGCAGATCCAATTCGAAAATTAAGGAACAACGCAATCTGCAACATTAACTGAAATGGATAATTAGATATTTTCAGCTTATACCATCCGTTATACATTAAACATGCATGCGTAAACGTATTATGTGCATGCGCACACGCATATGCACAGCCGTAAAGGTCCAACGCACCGCATGCGCAGAAAGTTTTTAGCTTTGAGGTCCGAATTATCGACTTTTGACAGTTTACGGTAGTTCCAATATGTTGTGCTGATAGCACAAAACTACCACCATTTTTCATTTTCAAAAGAAAAACTTATCCGAAAGAAAACTTCCAATCTGTGTAATTGTTCATGCTCATCCGAAAGGCTGGATGGACAAAGCTGGAATGAAACTGTGGTTACAGAACGTATGAGGAAGGCAACCTGGTGGACTATTAAGAAAACCCTCTCTTTAAGTTTTAGATCAGTTTAGAGCCCACAGAACTGAAACCATAAAGAATAAAGAGAATTAAAAACCCAGATAGTTGTCCTTCCTGGTGGACTGACTAGCCAACTGCAGCCTTTAGATGTATTGGTGAATAAGCCATTTAAGGAAAAAGTGCAAGAACGATGGAACAAGTGGATAGGAGAGCCACATCACACCCTCAGGTAGAATGAAGCGGCCCTCTATTTCACAAGTGTCTGAGTGGGTAAAAAGATCTTGGGAGGACGTAAAGGCTGAAGTAATTGTTAAGTCCTTTAAGAAGTGCGGAATCAGTAATGCTCCTGACGGAACAGAAGAGGACGTATTATTCGAAAAGTGATACTAGCGATGATGGAAACACTAGTGATGACGATATTCTCATTTTTCGATGATGATGATAGTGAAAAGGATTTTTACGGTTTTGAAAGTGATTAAATTCTAATTTCATGATAGGCAACGTTTTCCTTGAATCTGTGTTTTTTGTTGTTTTTGCTTTATTTTGTATTATGTTTGATTGCTTGACGTTCATTCATTTATTCATAATTGAAATTTACATATAATGCTCAAAATAGCTTGACGTTGGTTAATTTTCCTTAATTAAAAATATGTTTGGTAATTGTATTCAATGATTGTTTGTTTATTTGGCTTTGACGAAACATGAGAACTAAAAGAAACCACATTTTAAGTTATTGTGGTACTGCACTATCGCACGTACTATTGAAACTTTTTTTTCCTTGTGTGTGGTCTTCTAAATAAGGGTGTGTCTTATACGCCAGTGCATCTTATATGCCGTCAAATACGGTACTTATCGGGTGCAAGTTGGTAATTTCTGAAACTTTTTAAAAAAGATTCCCCAACTGTCTTTACTTTTCATAAATATAATCATTTAAATACAGATTTTAATTACTAAATAAGGATTATATGGTGCAAAAATAAATAAATAAAACATTCATATTTTGCAAAATTGTTCTGTAATTTTGCACTGTTTTTCTTCCTGTGTACACAGCAAACTGTTTTCTCTTAAAAAGCATCACACAACTACACAAACCTGCCATCATTCACAACTTCGGCACTGCTAGCAGGCTATCTATCAGATGCATCTAATTATTGTTCCCTTTAGCAGTTCTGGGAGAAAATACTGTTTTTCCATAGAACTTTTAATGCAGTTTTTCCCACAGCTGCCAATTTCTAAAAGCGAATATTTTAAAATTGAATTCAATGCAAAAAATATCATGATTTGTATATAAAAACCATTGGAATGCAAAGCAACTTCTACTAAGGTGATTGCAATATATATAACATGGAAGTTTTACAAAAAAAAAGGGGGGGAATTTCTAATACAGGAATTTCCAATAGATTTGGTATTAACTCCCTGGGAAACTGATGAAGTTTTAAAAGGGATCAATGATCAAGGAGTCAAAAGCCAAATATGCATCGGAAAATTGGTCGACATACTCAAGATCCTACTATTTACAAAAGAATTTATTAATAATGAATTGGTTATTGAGCTCTAGTGTAGAATTACGTGCTCCTTTCGATTGGTAACAATTTTTTTTTTAAATTTTGGCAATGAAACCTCACTTCTGGTTACCACGATAGTTTTAACTTTGTTTTAGCTTACCGATTTTATTTAAATGAAAATGGATTAATGTGTACATGGACATATTTAAAGCAGAGCACAATGCCTAGTTTGTGCAATTCTAGGATGTTTTTTTAAGTAAAAACAGATCGATTTGTACATGGACACAGATCTTGTGCAATTCTTTGACTTCTTATTTTGGTTTTGTGTAGCGGCCATCTTAATTTTTTTTTTTTTTTTTTAAATTTAGTCACAATTATTTTTATTATGATTATTTTGTATGTGGTATATAAATAGTGAAAAAGGTAAATGGATCAGTGAAGAAAATCATTCCTTTAAAAGGGGTCAATGTAAGGAAGTTGGGAATCGCTGTACTAACTGATCATAAAAATATCCAGTTGTTAAAAATGGGAATCATACCCAAGATAAAACTAGTTTCACTTGTTTAAACAGGTATGAAAAATATCTATACGGGAAACCTCATTTAATCAAAAAGCTTAAAGAACAGGTTCTCAAGCTATTAACAAGGTAGAGTTTTCATATAAAATAAAACAATTCCAAAGATAAGTTCTCATATATAAATATGACAGTTAAAACATTTTACAATTTCATGTTCATGAACATCATTCTAGGGAATAAAGGTTCACGCTTCATAAAAATTTTTATTTTAAAAGACAGGAAAAAATTTTAGAAAACAAAAAACAAAAAAATACATACTTTATAATAGGTTAGATAACACATGGAAATTGATATTCAACACAGCAAACTTTTTAAATACTTACTGTCAACATTTCATTACGAATGAAAAATTATTATTAATAATTTCAAGAACATGTCACTGGAACACTCAGAGAAAAGAAAATTAGCTAAATTTTCAGTAACCAGTTAAAATCAGTTATTTGTGTAGGATACTTGATACTACTGAACCAAATTACATACATCACATTTTAACAAACATTAATGGATGGTACATAACGTGTAAATTACCATTCAATTTCTGCATTTTTCTTCAAATAATTTCTAACTATTATACACATTATATGGCGAATGTGAGTCTATATTTCAATAAAACATTATATGTAAGTTATCACAAGTATTATATATATCATATAAATGAAAGCAATCTTGAATAACAAATCAGTACATTTCGTATTTGAAAAAAAAGTGTTCCGATGTTCTTGACCGTTACGTGAAAAAAAAAAAATTCCGAAAACAAATTTTACATACCCACTTCTTTCCACATTGCAAGATGTGTTGTCAAAAAGCCGTCACGAATGGCTTTTAAAACCATTTCATCATCATCTTGCCAAAAGTTTTTAAAGCAAACGATGTTATCCAACAAATTATTTTTTGCGTACTGAGCAGCTTCCTTTCCACCATGGCCGTCGAAAATGCCAAAAAAAGCGTATTCTAAATCTTTCTTATCTTCTGTTTGTTGATATGCTACAACAAATGCATCTTCCATATATTTTCTTCCACCTTGGCTACTCTGACCAGTGACTCTTAAAGTTATTTCACATGCAGACATGCTTTCACCGCCAGTTTCCTTTTAAACACAAAAACAGATGTGCAGGGAAATCTTCCTTCTACGTACGTTGGATCCCTACCCACGGGTATTTCAGCGCAAGCGCATTACGCATGTTAAGACAAGAACGAACGGACTTTTTTTTTGTCAAGATTTACACTTATGCGTGCAATTGTCAAGTGAAATTCTGATAAAAGTTTGGTGACTTCTAAGTACTTTATTTCAAATTACATTAGTCTACATTCTGCAAATATTAAAATACTAGTTAAGTCATAATGAATATCATAATCAAATATACTTCATATTTTAAAGCATTTCTGTTATGTCGATACCAATTAAAGAATGGTGGAGGTAATCGATTTAAATTTATTTTAAATTCATATTAAACAAAATTTAAATTTGAGATTGAGGCTCATCTTCTCAATATATTAATTTGAGATAAGAAGCGAAGACTTATTCCAATATTATGTAGATTAAAATTTGAATACTGAAGGCACATATTTACTTTAGAAAAAGAATCAAAAGAAAATTCGAATTTCTTCGCCTTCAGATTAAAATCTAATTCAAATTCCTACTATAAAATTTTATGCTACTTACCTTTTAACCTTTCTATACTGTTTTCCTTAGGCTTTGAGCTTAAGTAATAGAAAAAATAAAAGGGTAGATAATACCCAAGGTCCGTGGATAATACCAACGTAAAATGAGTAAACGGACAAGGAATATAACTTTTAATATTCAGTAATTTGTAAATGGCAACATTTAACATTTAGTATTTAATAGCTTGTTAATGACAGCACTTTTGGATACATGTAAAAATAGAAATATCTTAATACTGCAGTTACCTGTAAATAAATAGTTTAGAGAGTTAAAAGCGCAAAATGAAATTCTGAGTTATAAAATTGATCATAGTATGACAGATTTTGGGAAGGAAGGTTTTTTTATATACCATTTCGCCTGCACCTACTCAGTTTTTACGTTAGTTTAACTAAGAGGAGCAAGCTACTATTATCATAGCGAGAATGAATTCCTTTAAATGAGGAAGAAGTTAGACGAATTTTAGGGGATATTGACCTTTCACGGGTAAATCAATAGAATGTTCAAACACTTCTTCAGCTTCATGCTGAGCACTTAAATATTCTTAAATCAGGTATTTCTAACTCAAACTGGCTTTATACAGCCACAGAAAACATTCCCCCTATCGTTCTTGCGGACTTTAATGGGTATTGGGATAAATTGAAAGAGAAGATCGAAGATCAACTTGAAATAAAGAAATATAAATGAAAGCTAACATGAAAGACGATAGTGTGAATATTCGCGCTTATTCAACTGATGACTACCGTACTATAACGCGCATGTTGCAAGACGAAGGTGTTCCCTTCCATACATTTCTCATCAATTCCGAACGATCTATTGAGGCTATAGTGAAAAGATTACCTCGCAGTACTAACATCGAAGTGTTAAAGCAGGAAATTCTCGACTTAAGCCTCGTTTCCACTACTGCGTACGAACGCGTTGATTGCGTCAATTGAAGACACGCCTACGGCATCCGTACAAGCGTTTCCACTGCCGCGTATCCGTAGAATATTTTCATTTTCCGCCACTAGGTGTCACTGTAATATTTTGCCGCCAAACAAATTAATATTTTGCCGTGTAATATTTTGCCATGTAATATAATGCCGTGTAATAATTTTGCCATGTAATATTTTGCCGTCGCGAGTTACGACGCTGAACATCTGAATTTTTTCCCGCTTAAGTGAGTATTGTTTGTTTTGGATTTGATATGGATCCTGACGTAAAAAGTAAAAAAATTTTGTTTACTAAATTTCCATGTTATTGGAAATTTTTATTTCTGCTTATGAACTGCGAAAGTAAAGTACGCTAGCAATTTTTAGATAACTAAGGTTATTATGCATATTATGAACATCACTAATTCCATAGAAGCTGAAGTAAATTTTAAAAAAAATTTTGCGTTTCTAGAAGCCTTAAATACTAATGAAATAATATACATATTATTAAAACTAAAATGTACTGTTAATGAAAAAATAAACAAATAAATAAATAAAATAAAAAAGTTAAAGGAATTAAAAAATAGTTGGTACTTTAAAAATACAGAGCAACTGTAAAAAAAGGTTCATAATATTTACACAAAATTAGCTATGCTTGTATACCGCTGACTTCAGGGTCATAGCTGGATAATTTATTAGAAATCTCGTTTGTTTTAAAATGCACTGTGGACAGTTATATTTTATGCATAATCAATAAAATATTATTTTTAATTTAAACATTTTTAATTCATATCTCTTTTGATAGAAGAAGTTGTAAAAATAAGATTTTTCTCTTTATATATACACACTTTAGGTAAAGAAAATGGAAAATTTAATTATTTAATTCCTGCGCTTCTGCTGGAGAGGAGTGAATTTAAAAGCAATTATTATAGTAATTTTTTGTTAAAAATGTTTAGGGCATTAATACTGTCTCATGTTAATTGGAATGAAAGTTTAGAGTCGTAAACATCCCAAAGTCTGAGCACATGTGAACTATTCAAGGGAGACCCAATCCGCCTTGTCCCAGCGGGACCATATGATTAAAAATTGGTCAACCCTCCTCCAAACCAAGATGATGGCAACCAGAGACACGCGGTTCTTCCTTTCATTAGCTGAGCAAAACAAAAAATTAATTTAAAAGCCAACCAAACCACACATTAAAACCGGGTCCCCAAAGCCCGAGCCCCGAGTACACAAAAATTAGTGTAAAGAAACCAAAAAGAACTTAAAAATATACAATCAGCATTCCAACTCTCGCTTACTCTAAAAATCATGCTGATAAAACATCACAGAAAACATAAAATAGCTAACCAAAAATAAAGAAAGGTTAGTAGAAAAACTAAAGACAAGAAAATGACACAAAACACAAACACTTACGCAATCAAACAATCTCAGACAAAAACACTCACAGAGAGGCAGATTCTGTCACACAATAAAACTCGCTTCAAACCATAAAACAACATAAATAACTAAGCACCTCAAAGGTCCATTGGGGAATACCCCAAAAGGAAAAAAACCTGCAGAAGGTCACACCAAAGCCGCACGTAATAAGGTGTTCTATAGTTAAAAATGCAATAGAAAATAATTATAATCTGACAGCAATATTAATTTTAACTTTGCTACTTAAAGCCCCGGTTAGAGCAGAACAAAATAACTTCAATAAAGTAAAATAAAATCCTCAGCTCACAAATGATTGTTAAATTGATAAAATTATCTTAAAAACATATAAAATAACTTAAAAGCCTAAAATTCAATTAAAATATCTAGACTGTGATCTATGATGTTATTACAGAGTGCCTAAACTGTAAGTATGTGCTGTAAACATATGTTTAAATTAATAAAAAAAACAGACAATACAGCATACAATACATACACATCAATAATACATAAAGGAAAAAATAAATTAGACAAAATAATTGAAATATTTAAAGACATAATTTAAACTAATACACCAAATGTCACTCTATTATTGTTTATATAAGACATAGCATATCTAGAGAATCTTTTTAAAGTTTCAATACTTAATGATTTATCACTAAAGCATTCGATTCTCAAATCCTAAAGGACAGTGATTGAGGAAATGCTCTGCGTTCCCAACTACATGACAAACGCCACATAAATCTGTATTTTGCAAACCAAACCTAGAGAGGTACGCCGGGAAACGGCCATGTCCAGTCAAGAACTGATTCAGATCTATGTCGCTAATCGGCTTCATTTCGATTTTAATTTTAATATACTGCAATAAACCCGCGCACCTCTCAGACTCCTTCCATTGTAATGTCCAGATATTCAAATAAAAATTTTTCATATTTCTAATGGCATAGCTTGTCGAACCGGACGTCTCAAAGAATTCAACTCCTTCATCATAAATAGCTTGTTTTGCCAGCACGTCGGCTCTTTCATTTCCGGTAAAATCAGCATGGGCCTTTACCTAATGTAAATAAACATCCATGCGTTGTTTCAACAATTTTAACAAGAACTTAATTTCAAAAATTAGAACATTGGCTGTACGGCCCAGGACAGAGACTGCAGCATAGACATACAATCAGAGTAAATATGTACAGTATTTACACAGGTCAAATTACTCTTAATCCATTGTAAAGCCTTAAGGAGCGCACAACATTCCGCTTGAAAAACAGAATTGTAACTATTCAACTTGTCCATTTTATTTACAATTTCAACACCAAAAAAGTAAATTACAAAAGCTGCACCAAACTGACAGTCCTGTCCCGACCCGTCATTGTATACGTCTATTTCTCCTATTACAGGAAGAACACAATCAAAGCAAAAGGTACAATACTCTGAGGGATGTACAAAATCTGTAAAAAAATCTTACAAACATATGTTTTGTAATTAAAATGTCATTATAAAGTTTAAAATCCATTCTCTGAGTTTTAAATAAGAATTTCTCATAATAAAATTTATACATAACAGAAAGCGGCGACGTGCCGGCAAGAACACAGAGCACCTCAGTCGACACTGTGCGAAAGCATCTTGTGATTGCTAGGCACCAACTCCTTTGTATTGAGTCGAGTTTGCTCCTTAGTCTAATCAGTTACCCCACAACTCCATGCACCAATTCCATAAAGTATCTTTGGAACTATAACACAGTTTAATATATCCTTTAACCCTTTGCGGCGCACTATACATTAACGTTGGAATTTCAACAAAAAAAATGTATGCAGTATATTTAGTCCTAAAGGAGTATACAGGTAAAATTTTGTAAAAATTGCACTTACCGTTTTAATTCTGTGGGTGTTCCATGAGGTGGAACACTGCGCCGCCAGAGCTTTTAAAAGTGCGACTACGCGAGCATTGCAGTGAAGCACGAAAATGAGTAGAAGCGTTTGTATAAGAATGAAAAAAACTCTGTATTATGGCTGTATATATGGTTTCCTGGATATACACAATATTCTTGAATATATACGGATAAATGAGATAAATATCTATATACACAAGTCCTATATACAAAAATATTTACAAATTTTCCTATTTCTTAGCTTCGTGAAATTGTTCAAAGCAAGTCACACCTTTTGATGGAAGCACAAACCAACTTTGCGGGTTTTGCACATAAAACTTGTTTTGTGCGGCTTCTGCTTCGTGCTACAATGTGCACATCGTCTACGCGTACCCTTCACTGGTATGTGTTCAACACTACTGTAGCGTTTTCCCCCGGAAACCTTTACTTTATGCCTGGGA